TGAAAGTTCGGCTTCGCGATCATCGCCGCCTCCGCGCCGTATCGCCCGTCCCATCGAGTCACGAGCCGGACGTCCGAGTGATTGCGCACATTCTCCATAGTCTTACTGAACACGGCATTATTCATCAATTTGTAAAGATTTTTCTCGAACTCGTTTTTCGCGTTAATTCGTAGTCGCGTGTTTAATTCGATGTATCCGCGCAGCCATGGAGATTGTGCGAATTTATTTTATTAATAACTCGAATCGAATATCCGTGTGCTTTAACATAGAGTTCCACGTATATCCAGGTAATGTGTAATAGTATGCGGGATCTAAATTATAACTTCTCATACACGCGTCGCAAGAATTTTCGAAGACATCGGCTAAATACGACGCCAATTTTTCGAGACTCGCGCTTAAAAACTTGAAAGAATCCACAAAGCGCAATTTCAGGCGTTTCCCAAAGCATCCCTCGTTCAACGCATCCTCAATGTTCTTCGTGAAAGAGATATACATTTCCTTCGTTAGCGGCAATAACTCGATGCTGCCGGGAAAAGCGTTAGCCACATCTTTAATAATGAAATATGCATCGTAACCTGATAAATTGTGAAAGAATATGGGAATTACGTAAGTCTCCTTATAATTTAAATTACAATTCGAGTGCGCCGGACCTCTATACCGTCCAGTAAGATGACAGTGATCGCGCACGCGAGCGTCTTCCGATTCGAACGGTTTCTCGCATACGCGACAGTGCGTCGCGCTCGTGAATCTCTCCCATTCGTCCGGTGTAAGATCCACCATAGGCGCATCGATGCTGAGAATAGTCTTCGCGCGAAGCGCTAAATCGTACAATTCTTTAACAAATTACGATACGCAATTCTCGCCGCGATAGGCTTTGTAAGTCGAGCCAGCATCATCGAACGCGCATCGCGCGTAATATCCAGCGCTATAGACTTTGTGATGCGGAATGATAGATGTATTCGGTGTTCTCTTCTCCTCTTTCTTCTCCAGCACGCATTCGAGATCGGCGTCACGAATGGAAGTCTCTCCTTTCTACAGTAATTGCGAAACTCTAACCATTTGTCATCTTCAGTAGGAAGAACTATAGCGCACTCGTTCATCCTTCCACAGTCCGCGCTGTGAGCCGATAATTTATCGCTCGTTCGAAAATAATGCATGCA